GAAGAAGAAGAAGAAGAAACGGCAGAAACGGGCCAAGAAATTTCCGTATATAACCGATATTTATATTATTTTATCATCTTTTCCTTTAACGATTTCCAAAAAATAGAAATAGAGACGCGCGTAGTAGATAAGAATAACATATCAAATCTTGGGAAACTTTTAAATGCGAAACTAATAAAATCTAAACGTTTAAAAATGTATTTTTTTTTTTTATCATTTTCCAAATAATACACGGAAAAATAGAATATATATATATTTGGAAAATTTTCAATTAAAAATATAGGACAAATGGATAAAGAAAAATAAAGGAAAAAGAAAACGAATCTTTTTTCTTATAAGATCTGCACATCAATCAATTTCGACGAAAAAGAATAACAATAAAAATACAACACAGAAACTCAAAAATTAATAATAAATAAATAAAAAAAAAATATATATATATATATAAATATATTTATTATAATAATAAATTATATTTTATATATCCATCTTCTTCTATATCTATTATATACCTTTCTCTTTTTGTATGATAGCCGATTTGAAAGAAATAAATATTCTACCTGCAGTTAGCGAATTGTATCCCCCGGAACCATTGCTTTCTCACAATACTCGAGGGACAAGGTCAGGGAAAAGATGAAAAGAATAACAAAGGACGTCAAAGAATAGCAAAGGACATAAAAAGTACGAGCAGAAATTTTCCGTCCTTTTCAAGCAAAAAATCTGAGTCAGGTTAAAATGAAAATCTTTTAAGAGACGCGTGATTCATCAAAGAGTACTGCAACGAACGACTGCTTGATCTAACTTGTAAAAGGACAGGACAACAAAAAATCAAACAAGAGACGCATCTCATGAACTTGAATACATTAAACGAAACAGTTTAACATTACGTTACAAATTCAAAGTATTTAACCAACACACTTTAACATTAGTCATCATTCGTGAATAAAACGTTTCTATATCGTATTATAAATATTTATTCAAACGATTATTAAAAACAAATCATGCAATATCAATGAATATTATTGTTGAATCTTTTGCCACTACGCGTATGCATTATTTAAATATTATTTTTTTTAAAATATATAAGTATGTGTATAAATAATTAAAAAGATAAAAGGAAGAACACGAGAAGAGAAGGAGGAATACCGTGGAATGTATACATATATATATTGGCTAAGGTTTTTTTTTCGATGCATGTTTTTTTAAGTTCGTACTCTCTTCCTTTTTCAGCCATAACACACCGTGGTATTCCCACATGTTATACCATCCTGACTAGTATACGCACCGTGCATAGAAAAATGCCGTAGGTGTAAGTCTACAATACGTTTGCCATCCGTCTCTCTACCACTACATTCATAGATGATTCGACATATGTGTGTGTATGTATATACGCGAAGAACGATGATTGCGTATACGACGTTCAGCCTAAAACGGATGAACACGCACGTTGCCATACCCCTTAGCCATACCCCTAGCTATATAATATGCTTTTAGACTCGCAGGATTGGCTGATTGTAGAAACTGTGGGTAGCATAGTTGGTAGTAGGATAGTGTGTAGGTACTTTACTACGTCGCGTCGTGCCAAGCTTCTTCTATCTATCCAGAGGTACTCAACTTCTTTTTCCGCATAAGTTCGTTTACTACATCAAACGGGGACTCCCGAATAAATTGTCGAATAATTGACGAGTAATATTTCAATCAATTCATATTTTGAATATTATTTCGAATCATAGATTTGTCATTATTCAAATAAGAAAGTATTACCAATAAGAAATAACACATTTTTCGGTAAATGATATATTTGATTTTGTTAATTTAAGGCTGCTGAATGTGTTAAATAAATATTTCGTTTTTTTATAATAATACAAAACATTGATAATAGTTTATTTTAAATAAATATTTAATTTTTAAGACTGATGATTACGTGCGACACTTTGCGCGTGGCCAACGCGCATCCGGCATTCCCGCACATTTTCAAGCATTTCAATATAACTTACTTTAGTATATGTTTCGAATCAAATATTATTATTAAATAATATTCCAATTAATTATTTTGTTGATTAATATCCTTCGTTCGTGCTAACCTAAGCTATGAGATTTTTTTTTTTACATTTATTACAATTATGTTTTGTTATTGCATTTGTGTTATTTACAATGAATACGATTCGCGGTATCGATTCTCGTTTAGTACGTATCCTAATTCCAGTGACCCAGGATCAATGAAGCGGAGGAATCTGTTTAACCCTCTGATTATGAGTATCAAAGAAATTTCCCACTCCGTTCAGAAGCAAATGTGGGCGTTCCAACGCGTAGCGGGACATGACCGTATGAAAAATAGAAAAATTAAAAAGACAATTAAATCCGAAGGTTTTTTGTTTTATTTTCTTTATTTATATCTTTCTTTTTCAAATAATTCTCAGTTTATCCTTTTATCCGTTACCGTTTATAATCATAAATAATAATACATTAAAGAATGTCTCGCGTAAGATTGGTTTTATTGTCGTACAGCACTGGTTTTCTGAAACAAATGATAGAAAGGGAGACAAACTAAACTATACTATACAGTAATCAACGACAAACTTTAATTTGATTGGCTGTATCCCCACTACCGCTCATACCCCGTTCTCACAGCTTCGACAGTGTACCGTAAAGGGTTAAACTTAATATAATTATAATAAATAAAATATTTTCTTTTCAATAATTACGTGCGCATATAATGTTAAATAAGATATTTATTTATTTATTTATTTATTTACTATTCACGATATATTTAAAATTACTATTTTATTTAATTCTGAATATAACCATAAACAAAAAAAAAAAAGCGGTCACTGCACAACCCTACGGCAACGAAAAGGAAGAAAGTAGAAAACGTTACATGGTGAGAGGAAAAATACGACGAAGCTAGAATTAGAAAGAAGAAAAGAGAGACAACTAGGTGAAAAAAGCAACGACCTGATGCAAAAAAAAAGGAGAAGGTTGTGAGGTAGAGGATGGAATTGGGGGAGGAGAAAAACTAGAATCAGAAAGGAAACGTAAAGCAATAGGATTGGAGGGCCAGGAGCATAAGGGGCGTGTAGAAAAAGAATTTTACCATCTAACATGTAGTCATCTAGCATCTACTATTTTACCATCGAATGAACTAACAGAGTTCATTCGACTCGTGGCCGTTGATTCCTTATTAATCATCAAAATAGCACAATGTGCATCTTTTGTCCCTTCATTTTTGTTCATTCTTATATTATTCGATTCACACTTTAAATTTTAACTTCGATTTAAATTTTTATTTTATTGAATCAAAGTATCATCATCACATCAATTTTCAAATTGTAAAAGAATTACTTCATCCTAAATTATGTATACGTATTTTTATAAATATTTTCTCGTTATGAAACTTTTCTTATTTATTTGATAATATGTTTTTTTTTTTAACATGCAAAACTGCATCGAATCAATTATCTCTCGTAGAAGTTGAGATTAATTATAAAATTAAACATAAGAATATAGGAAAACTGTTGTTATATTTTATTATATTATTTGTTATTACATATTTCAAGAATAGTCAAAATGCAAATCGGAAAATATAATTATTCAAATTAATTACCTTTTAATCGTCGTTTTTCTTTCAACATTTATTTTCTATTCGAATAACAATACTTAATAGCGAAAAGACACATTTCTTAAATATTATCAATTGAGAGATTAAATAATGGTAATTAGATAATTTTCAAATGGACGAAATAAATAAACAATATTCGATTAGATTAAGAATTAAAATGATTTTAGCGCTCGAAAAAATTAGCTTGTTATTGAAAATTTGTTTATGAGAATAGGAAAAAAAAGTCCAAAGTATAAATTCGTTTGGGATTTATGTACACATTTACGATAACAATGATAAATTTTTCCATAACAAACGAGTGGTCAGAAAAAAATGGCGACGTGTAACAGCACAGAAAACAAAAATAGGCTTTTTCGAAGCTTTCGTATCGATAAAATAATATATATCGCAAAACTTGAAAGATTCAGTAAAATTTCCTACAACAAAGTATATCCCTCCCTTCTTTTGACTATTTCTAAAAATAGATTCGCCTAGGTACCAGCACCCTATCTACTCTATCCATCTATCTATCTATCTCTATTTCTATCTACGTTCATAAGTCGTGTTGTTAGGGGCCGGGGGGGTGGTAGTGAAACATTAGAGGGTGACTCGCATTGCATATGTTCTACGTTATTATCAAAAAAAGGTTGCAGTTATACCAGGGAAGCTAAGGGAAAGCTAAAGGAACGAATGAGGGAAAACTCAGAAAGAAGAGATATGGGGGAATGGCAAAGTAGTATAGTGGAAGTAGAATAGTGGGGGTGTAGCTAGCAAGGGTGGATCAAGCTAGGAAAGGAAACGTTAGTGAATAAAAATGCATTTCATCGTAGTGAGACTCTTTACTAATACATAAAGGGAATATAAAGGGACAAGAAAGAAGACAGTGTTACCAACAGTCATCGTATCACGATTACGAAATAGATTATAAACGACACGACGATGATGATAACGGACAGAGGTCGTTGTATACGTGTTTGTGGATTTCTATATATATATATGGGAATAGGAGTTTTGCTAGTCGCATTCGTGTAATTAATAAACAGCAATAGTAGAAGTGGCTAGATGCTAGACGTCAGTAGTATAGTGTAGTGTGCGCATCGTAATATGCGCATTTCTATGGATTGGTAGAACGAACTGTAAGTGGGGGTTCAGTGACGTATATTAGAAGTATAAGAAGGGAGTGAGGCCCTGCCCACCTTCTCTTTCTACTAAGTAAGTTTTCGATCTCATCACAGTGCAGTCCAAAAGTATGGAGTGTACCTTAGTCGAACTGTCTTGTTTTGGAGCTTCTTATAGCAACCAGATTAAGAACGCAAATTACAGATTGATACAACGGTAAATTTAACGAAATTAATTATGTGCATATGTTCCCCGCGTGTTATTAGACCTATTTTATTATTATTATTTTTGGCAATTTATAATATTGGCAATTTACGAAATTGCCGAATTATTGGCGAATTCGCGAAATTTGTTGAGTGAACATTTCTGAGGAGCAACAGTAAGAAGACACACAACTTTAGAAGAAACAACACATTAACAAGAGAGGAAGAAGCATATAAGGGTAAGAAGATAAAGATAGAGATAGAGATAGATATAGAGAGATATACCATACAAATTTTATTATTTTTACTTTATTTTTTTTTTTGGTGAAATATGTTTTATATAGAGAAATATAATAGATTGTTATTTATTTAATAATTCAATAATATTAGAACAAAAATAACAAACTTATTAAGAGGTTTACCAAACCACGTGCTTTTATTTACAAATTATATAGTTCCAATATATCTATATTTTTACATAATATATATATAGATATACAAAAAATATAAATATATTTTATTATTGTATAAATAACACACACGATCTCGAAGTGTAATTTTAATTTTTTCTAATTGTTTTTATCAATATTCATGATGTTATATATCTGTTATTAATTAATGCATTAATTTATTATTAAATAAAATCGATTGTCATTTTGTTAATAACAATAGCCCTGTGTCTACTACCGGAAAATTTCATTGTGCGTGAATTATTACTACATACACGTGATTATTTAAACGCGTGGATTTATTCAAAATGCTTTTTCTTCAAGAAGGACGATTTTTGTATTCGTTTATTGATAGGAAACAATATTCTCGATTTTTTGTATTTATTAGTTATAACGTCGCTTGCTATTAGGAAGGAAAAATTTCTAATATCATACATTTATTAGTCACACGTTGTGCAAACGAAATGCGAACTAATAGTAAATTATCGCTTATTCATTATATGTATATATGTGTGTGTGTTTGTGGCCCTACCAAAAACGTCTTCGCAAATGACGCAATTATTTGTCATATTATCATCGTATTTTCGTCAGAATTGTTGATAAACGAATACGATCGGTAAAACGCTACTGCGTTTTATTTATATTTTCTATTATTAATGTTTTTTTGTCATCTAACTTGTACAATACATTCTTAGACAGTACATTTTTATTTCTCTTTACTTTATAATTTTTATCTCATTAATTAATATATATATATATTAATAATTCAATAAAATCACTATTAACCGAAGATAATTAAGGTCCTCCTATTGGTATGTACGTTTATAAGGGTGTTAAAAAGAAAAAAAATTATATATAAAGTGCATACTATATTAAGTATAAAAAAATCTTACAAGGGGAAGAATCTAAATTAAAAATTAGCGGTGTATACCTTTAGAGACGTTTATACATTAATATAAAAAAGTATATTAGCCAATCAATTCCGAGAAAAAAAAGTTTGAATAGTTTTAGTCTGTTTATATTCTTATAAATTCAGTTACTTACAAAGTAACTCAATTGCTTAATCAGAAACATACTCTGCTTACTAACCGGGTGGTGGTGTTGAAACGTTTCGATCTTGCTATTTTCTATTTTGGATTTTTTTTTTTCTAATAATTTTGTTGACATTAATAACTCTTATTATTATTATTTCAGGTTATTATTTTATTGGTTCAAATCATTTCTCTAGAAAAACTTTCTCACGGTAATTCAATATTACCAAAGAGAAGGTGTATAACTAGTTAATTCATATGATACTTGAATTACAGTTGAACATTTTTATTTTTTGTATAGTTAAATAATTTTATATATAGTTATGTATATATATGTTATAGCTAATGTTAGGAATCTAGACATTGTATAGATTACCCGAGAAATCTCTAGAATCCTTGAGAAATCTCTAGAATCCTTGAGAAAGCTCTAGAATCCTTGAGAAATCTCTAGAATACCCAAAGGGTTTTGGTCAATGTAAAATACATGCGTCAGTCGATTGTGTTTAGAGCATCGTAGTAATCTTAGAAGGAAAAACAATTAAATTCTTAATAGAAATCAAACACCACGCACAGTACGTAAAGTGAAGATCATGTAATGATCATACGAACAAAATGCACCTTTCGTGATTTGATTATTTCACTTAAAAAAGTTTTAAAATATTTACCTTTCCTCCATCATGCTCTAAACACATCCAACTATGTACATTGTTTTTGATTCTGTACATTGACCCTAACATATAAAAAATATATATATAATTTAAATAGTGATAAAAATAACAATCATTATTGACATGCACGTCATCCTTCAATTTTCGTACACACATTTGAAATTGTTTTCTTCCAAAGTCCATAAACTTTCTCGAAAACTTCACATCATCTTCGGATCATTTAACAAACATTATGAAAATTCGATTTCGTATTATCTTCTAAAAGTCATATATCGGTGAATAATACAAATAAATCGAAAATGTGGAAATCGGGAGATCGAGGATGCCACGTAAATGACTCATCACGTTCATTCGCCTTAAACTGAAAACAATGTTTAACATGTTGCTGACCGTCGCGTATAAATCGGATGTTTTCATCAAATTCAAATTTAATGAATATATCTAAAGATAAGCAAGTGCGAGGGTGAAAGCAAGCGATTGGCCCGCGGGACATATTTTCCGAGATTAATTGAAATTTTTAAATAATTTTTAAATAATTTCTTTTTTATATATATATCATAATATAATCAAATTATAATTATATTATGATTTTTTTTCTTTTTTTTTTACAGTATATCCAACTAATGTGAGTAGTGTGGCCTCTGCAGAAATATACCTATCACCCAACCATATATGACGCGGTGGTCAACGTGTTAAGTGTTCCGAAAAACAAGTAAGTCAATTCATGATGATATTAACATACAAAAATATTTGTACGTCAGAAATGATTGACCGATATCATCCTGGGTTTCGAGTCCCAATAATAATATCAATTCACTGGCTCGATTTTCTACACGAATCCTATAAATGAATGGGGTTGGAATTTGGAGAATTGCTTCGATAAACACTTGGAAATTATGCAACAACGCGAGAAAACAAAATTAACCCTTTGTCCTATTCGCTAACTCCTGATTACTCAGGCAATAATAATAATAATAACAATAATAATAACAATAATAATAATAATAATAATAATAATAATAATAATAATTACGCGTAACTAAAGTAATGAAAAATACAAAATTATCAAAAACAACTGAGCCACGAGTCTGATTGCGTTGTTTACGTTTGGTCCTAACGATGTATCATGAGTCAGGCTCGTGCTTGTTGTTTTTGGTCGAAATTTCTTATCACGAGTGTCACTCATTGTTATAAGACAATGAGTTAATGCGACCCAAGTGATGTTTGAAGAAATACTACGTGGCTTTGCGCTCAGGAAACTCGAAAGAAAAAGACAGTCGGAACGATGACTAGGAGTGCAACTAATTGCTAATGCAATCCTATTATCATCTTAGAAATTATCAAGAGAAGACAACCGTAACGACACGAATTGTGACTAGGAAGGTAACTGGACTCCCCACCCCCCACCTAGTACCTTTGAAATTTTAAGAGAAGATGTACGTAACGACACGAATGTTGGCTAGGAAGATAACTGGATCTAATATCTTCAAAATTGCAAGGGAAGATGACCGTAACGATATAAAAGGTGACTAAGAGAAGAGTAACTAGGCCTTAGTACCTTTCAAATATCAAGAGAAGATCATTCGGGGTTAGAATGTTGTTGCAGAATGACCAAGTGTGGGATCGAGCGTTTCCATATCGAACAAAATTAGGTATTCGTGAGAAAATTGTTGACCGACGCGACGGGTCCTGAATGGATATAGTTTACCATTAGTATTTAGAATCGTTGCTCGGAAAGCAAAAAATATTCTAGGTTCATGGTGTTTCGGTCCAAACAATCCAGCTGTTCAATTTTTTTTTCACGAATCCTATACACACATGTACCGTTTCGTTATAGGGTAACAGTCATCCTGTTACCAAGATGCAAACTGATTATTTTATTTAACACGTTGAGTACGGTACCACCGATTTTGGTATAACTTTTCGTTCAGGTTGCAGCGAGTGAACCGAGTTAAAATGTTTTAATATAAAGTTCAGTAAAATTATAATATAAATTAATAAATTCTGGGGTCTTAGACCCAGGTAGTCCAAACGAAAAGTCTACTGCCAGTCCCCAGGGATCGATTTAACACTTAACGTGTTAACCTATTATATACAATTGATAAAATTGATTAATCATCTCCCCCTAAAATCGACATTTAAAAATATCACCTATATATTTAATAATATTTTTCAATTTTTTTTGTTGATTCTAGAATCATCATATTTGAACTAAGGCATATATTGGTGTTAGACCGTGCAATTGAAATGGCGAGCACATCGACGCAGCAATATAGTATTCGTTGGAACAATTACCATTCTAATTTGTTATCAGTATTCGACGAACTTTTAATAAATCAAGCATTCGCTGACGTTACCTTATGTTTGGATGATGGTCAATCCCTCAAGTGCCACAAAGTAGTCCTTGCAGCCTGCTCTACTTACTTTCAAGATATGTTTTACAAACAACCACAAAAACATATAGTAGTAGCACTAAAAGATGTGGATTATTGTGAAATTAAGATTATATTGGAATACATGTATCGTGGTGAGATACATGTGGCTCATGACCAACTTGAAAGTCTACTGAAACTTGCGAAATCATTTAAAATCAAGGGTCTACTCGACATAAATGAAACCTCCAATTTGCCTATACAAAAAGATTACAGTAACGTGACGGCTACTACAATATCATCACCATATTGTTCGCCATCGTCACAACTAGTATCCAACATAACCAGCAGTATCTCCCATAACATTAAAACATCATCGCCTAATTCAAGTGAAATGGATGGCAGTCCACACGGTAAATATATTATTATTATTATTATTTTTGATTATTTAACGGGAAAATTAATTATTAAAAATGTCACTAATTTATCGATACGTAAAGATTTCGAAATGAAATTATTCTGCATACTAATTTCGAGTAAAATAAAGTTTGACGGAGGAGTAACCTTTATGCATGCCTATTTGTTTAGAATACAGGTGCTTAATTCCATAATTAATCAATTCGTAGTAACAATAAAATTAGAAACAATTTAGAAAATACCGAACGTTATGAAAATTTTCCTAGCCCCTCCCACCCCCCCACCGCTATTTTTACCGGCTTCCGCAATTTTATCGAATTTCGAGGATCTTATTGGGCGATTAACTTTTTAATGCACAATTGCTGACACAAATTGGACCACTAATAAAGAAATATTATCCCGACTTTATATCTCAAACAGAAAAAATGGCTGTTCCGTATAGAAATTACTCGGTATGTTGTTTAAACTAAAACGGTAAGTTAAGGGCATAAAAACGATAAAGGGTTTGAGGTACTGGGTGCGATGACTATACGTTCGACTATATATCATGTTGCTTTTTTTTTTTTCAAATTTATCATACTCACACATCAGTTGATATTGTATGAAACCTAAAAATATTGTGTTTTCAAAATTTTTGTCTTAGAATAAATGACATTTAAAACAAACATAAGTTATAATTATTATCTGCAAAAAAAAATTGTGCATTAAAAGGTTAAGGGCCCAGTTCTTGCCAGTTGTTACATTGACCAGACCGAAACTCAAAACTCGTTCGTTCGAACCATAGTGTATACTTCGCAACAACATTCGACACTACTGTATTTTCTTCTTTTCAATTTAACCGGTTTTTTTCCCTTCTCTAATTTCAAAGGTGTCACTTTAAACATCATTCTGTTAATTCTTTCAATCGCCATAAGTATTTTTTGTTGTTGTTCTTTTTCCTTTCTTCTTAAATTTTCTCTCGCATCGATGATACTTTTCGAAATGAAATAAGTTTGCAAGAACGCTTCGATCAGAGCAAATCCTCAATGTTTGTAGGACTTATGAAAAAATTGGATCGTTCGGTAGACTCTGGACCGGAATTCGAATCAAGAACCTCAAAGTTTCTCCCTGGTAAGACACTTTGGTAAGATTTTCCTTATTTATTTGGAATTAACACTCTTTCTCTCTCTCTCTCTCTCTCTCTCTCTCTCTCTCTCTCTCTCTCTCTCTCTTTTGTTCTCATTAACACTAAATGAAATTCATTAAAACATTGTTTCTGCTCGATGTATACTAATGTAGGAGACACCTATTTCTAAATAATACAAACTCTTGTTAAATCTGATTTATTAACGCTTCAACCGTTACCCTGATTAACCGTGACCGATATTTGTTTTTTAACAACAGGACCACCCGTGGCCGCGGCATGTCACTATACAAATTTTATATCCAATCCTTAAAATTATGACCTATGCGGAAAAATAAATCTTTTGAGAAACTTGCTTGGCGATCGATCCGATAATAATTTATTCCCATATACGTTGGTAAAAATGATGAAATTTAAATAATATTCTTTTTTTTTTTTTTTAGGAACTATGCCACCCCCGGAAGAAGATAAAAATCTTTTCTACCACTATCATTTACCTATGCCACTGTTGGCCTTGTCATCGCCGCATTCTATTCTTCAAGCTGTCAATCCAAATTCAGGTCATTCCTCTACGCAAAGTATCACTATGAATACTCCTGAGGAGATAGGATTCGAAGAGACCAATTATAAACGGAGGAAACGCATATTGCCGAAATATTCTTTGGTTCAGGACACACCGATATTACGAACAGTTTTGAACCAAAGACATATCGATAGTTCACAACAACAAGCCTCACCGTCTATGTCATCGGATAACAACGAAGCAAGAAGTGATGCGATAGTGTCATTAAACGAAAGAGTTGTACGAGAGAGTATGGCTCTCGCAAATTATGAATCCTTAGAATCTAGTTCTTATGCCGATATGATAGACGAAGACAACAAACAATCACTACCTCCAACTTTAAACGATATGAATACAAGTAAGTCAATTATAAGATTTATTAATCCTGATCTGTATACATTGTCATGAAAACACATCACACACACACACTCATTGTCTAGTTAATTTGTCATAATGATAATTGTAATTTATCTTTAAGTGACTAAGACCGTTATATACCTTACAAAAATATCCTATTGTTTATTAAAAAAAACTATATTTATATGATATATACTTTTAACAACACTTAACTCATTTTTCCCATTACAATTCGTTACGAATTGACACAATAATCACACGTTAACAAAATGAATTTCTCATATCGAGAAATGTTTAGATAAATTTTCAAACGTTCATTTGAAATTTATAATGTATCGATATATAATTACATTATCTAATCATATATTTATTTAAACGTTTAATTTTGATTATTTCTTTTACGCGCAGGTCACCACCACCACCACCACCAGAAGCCTGAATGGAAACGTTACAAACAATATACGCGAGAGAACATCAATAACGCAATCGAGGCAGTGAGAAATGGAGCGAGTGCATTGCAAGCAGCACGGATATACGGTGTCCCATCGCGTACACTTTACGATAAGGTAAAAAAATTAGGGATCACAAATAACCGACCTTCGAAACGTAGCGCAAGCAGATCTGATGGGGCAAGTTTATCTGGTAATTTCGGTGATAGTTCAAACAATTATGGCAGTAGTAGTGGCTTTGTGCCGGAATGTGATGATGAAACCAGCAACAGTAACAACCAACAAGAGAATACTTCGGGAACACAAGCTGAGACGAGTTTTGTCTCTGATATTAAAATCAAAGATGAATTAATCAAATTAAATATAGACACTGATCAACAAACTAGTCTAAATGAAAGTCTTATAATAAAAGAAGAAGAAAATGAACATTATCCAACTTACGAGGATGAAATTCAGGATCTTTCGATGCATTCCAAAAATAACAAAACTATAACAACGTCTAATATAGATGAGAAAAATTCAGATAATTTGAATCACAGCTAATAATTAGCCATTTAACATGTTAAACGCGGAGCACATTTTTCTATGCTTTGTGTTGTTCAAGCCTGTTAACAACATAGTGACGATGATCATTCGACGAGATGTTCGATTTAAAATTATAAACAAAACATATCGCATTATATTGCACTAACAAATGTTTGGAATAAAAGCATGGCTTGGCTGATATGTAGAAATATATTAAGTACAAACAATATATAATCAGCAAGAGGCATCATTATGCAAAAGGCGACCACAAAATTAAAACTCATGACCGGCTAAACGAAAAATTCACTATCATGGACTGACGTCGCGCTTAACGTGTTAAAAATTGAAACTGACGTGGAGATTAACATATTATATATCTATATTAATACAAAGTAAAAGAGAGAGAGAGAAAGAGAGAGTATATATAGTGCCTTAATTAAAAACACACTATTAGATATCCGGTTAGATTTTGAATTAAGGATATAATCCATCTTCTTATAAGAAGTAAGATATTTATAGTAAGTTCCGAGACGAACGCTGTTAAAATATTTTCCTTGTTGGAATTCCGAGATAATATCGATATGATATGTTTATTATTTCATAATAGGTCTCCAAAAGTGCTAAACAAAAGAAGTAATATAGTATAAGTAGTAGAAACGAAAGGACCATGATATTATCAATTATCTCATTAATTTCTCAGGTATAAATAATTATCTTAGGTTTTTTTTCTTTTTTTTCTTTTTCTTTCTAATAATTACTCGTGCAACTTTAATATAGTGATCAAATTTATATTTATTTGTTATGCATCAATTTGACGTGATGAAATTGAACGATTTCTATAATGTTTAACATTAACAGTGGAATTTAGATTATTCAAATTACCTTGGAGGAAGGAATAATTATCCATTAATAGAAAAAAATACGACAATTTTGTTGAATGTATGTTGTTCTTTAAAAAACATTTATCGAACATTATTAAACCTTAATATTTTATTTTCTTATACCATGACGCTTTGAAAATTAATATTTAATCATTTTAGATTACATTTCTTGAAACGTGGAGATTTCAATTGAATTTTTTATTTTAATTTCAAAATTCAATTTAACAAAGAATAGCTTCAAATAGATGAATTCTATAAACCACCGAATCAGTGTATCTGAGCTTTTTATCATTTTCCATTTAGGAGAAACTCGTTTGCAAATTTGTTCACACAATAACATGATGTACATATTTTAAATAAGTAATAATGAGTGAACTTGCCAAGATAATATTTTCCTAACGATGCAATTACAGTTTTACTATACCTTTAAAATCATTTATATATAAATGATATATTGTTACAATGCAATAAACCTCGTTATTGATTTGTCTAATGAATCATGTTATTTATATATATCTATCATTTGCCTGATAGATTATACTATTTATTTGTTGAACATTTTCGCATAACGGAGCATTCAAATAATCAAAGTTCCACTGTATTAGAATTCGTCGAATATCAAACTTTATATTTAAAACTCAAGATTAATCACGATTAATGATTAAACTCAAAAAGACTGAATCAACGTCACAGATTTACAAGACTGATGAACGAAGTAAAATGTGTTCAAACAAAAAAAGAACATCCTTAAGACTTCTACAATGAGAAATATTCTCTTTAGTTTCATTAGGTCACTGATAAGTTACTTTAGAAAATTTTTAATATAATTTAAGATAAGTTACTTCTTTCATCCTGTACAAAAGGACATGCAATATTTGAAGAAATAGAAAAAAAGAATTAAAAAGAAAAGAACAAAAAAAGAAAAAAGGATAGAAGAAGATTTTAAACACAACTCTCTACCTCTCGCACGAAATAAAACCGTTTAAGGGGATTAAAATTGATCGCTTATAAAAATGCTATTGTTTATATTTTTTATATTTTATTTTATTCTCTTTTTTTTTCATAAAGATTGAGTTTTTATATATTTGTCGCGAATACTATATCGAATAGAACAGAAAATACGTACGGTTTTTCTTGTTTTCTTTTTTGTTATCGTATTTTTACTCGTAGAATTGCAGCTTAGGAAATGTATTAATTTTTACTATTAAAAAAAAAAACTAAAAAGAAATTATAAAAAAAAAAAAACAAAAAAGAACATCAAATGTGTTCTACCGAAATACTTTAGCGAATGAAGTATTTCGGTAAGGGAAAGAACCTTCCAAAATAAAAAAAAAAAAATAAATCAGTTTTACATTGAACGCAATAAAACTATATTTTTTATGTTAAATAGTTTTTTTTCTTTTTATATTTTTATAATTGTTATTAAATTTTTACTACAGATAGTGAAAATACATAGAAGAGAGAAAAAGAGATAGAGAGAGAGAGAGGGAGAGAGAGAAACGCTATGTTTTTTTCTCTTATAATTTTTACACTTCAAATATTAAAAAGCATATTATAATAATGAATATAACTTATATATAATAATAATAATAATGATTTATGTAAATATAAAAAAAAGGTAGCATATGTATGCATATATTTATTATATCTTTTAGAATATTTTTCATTTCTTTTTATATTTATACTATAGCCACATATATGCATTATACACTCGTCAATAAAATCTGAATAAATATATATATTTTCTCAGATTTCTATATATATAAACGTATTATTATTAAGTTATAGATATACTTTTTCACAAATATAAATCATTGTCATATATGATTTATTATATACATATATATTTACACATTTATTTATTATTACACATGTAATATATATTCATTGTTATAATATTATATATAAGTATATTCTTCTGTAATTATATATACATGATGGATCATATAAATGGAAAAATTTAAAAATCTCTTGTATTTACAAGCGTATTAAACGATTCAAAGGACTGTTTTCTAATAAAATTTTAAATAAAGGAGGTTTTTAGATGTTCCCATTTATATGGTTCACTCAATATATAGTATATTGTATAATATAAGCATATGTATATATATACACCTGTATGTATATATATGCTTAGCATTGCTTAATTGGTTCTTATACAAAGTTTTATTAGATAAATAGATTATAGGATAATATTACAACAGACTGATTTTTTTACAATAGCTTTAATGTATGTAGGAAAACAAATAGGAAAAGACGCCACAATAAATGACCGCACCATTAGCATTTTATTTTCTTTTTTTTTTCTTTTTTTATGAAATTTGAAAAAGACAAGAACTTGAGAGTATCAAATGAGATATAAGGATATTTGTTAGTGTTACTAATAATGGCCCTGGGATGCAAATGCAATAATGTTCAATAAAATAACAGCACTATAATATAAAGCGAACTATCTACTTCATCGAATAACGAGTCAATGTTAAATTATTGTGAAAGATTAATCATAACTTGAATATGCCATACTATCATCTTCTCGAACAGTTTTATTTGTACAAAAAATGATTTCAATTGATATGAATGTATATAAATCCATGTAATCATATTACGTTTATCATATGATGTTTATGGAAAAACATGTAATTGGTTGTTCCTATAAATCTATATCTACAAAAATCTGAAGTACAGTTAGAAAAAGAAAACGAAAAAAAATTATTTCACTGTATACAGTAATGTGTGATCTACAACATACTAATTTCTTACTTGTCATTATGACGTAAAACTGTTCGAGATGTTACTTATTACATCAATGACTTTAATATTCGCAAATATAGTTGGCTATATTAATACACAAATATGTAATAATATAATATATTATTACATATAATAACAATAGGATTTTAAAAAAGGAGACCTGATAATGAGAGAGAGAGAGACAAACGTGAAGATACTAAGAAAATAAATTATTTATAGAAAATTTTAGAATAAGAATGGAGAATGAAGAGTGTTTTATATGATAAATTTATTTACCTATAAATAGAGTAATAATATTACACATGTGGTGTAAAATTGTGGGAATGGTTTAAAAAACCAGAGATAGAAAGGATCTCAAAATGATAAATATATATATATATAAAGTATAAAGACGTTAAGATTAAATACGGGTACGTATTATTAAATCATACGCGAGGAAATGAAAAGATAGAAGAATCTAAAGTCAAAATGTAAAAGACAAATGATCAAATTTTGAGGAGAAAGTTATAACAAGGAGGTAACGGGCAAATATTGGCAAAATGAATTAAAGAGAAAGAAAGAAAGAAAGATAATTGAGAGGAAGAAGAGAAAGTTGAAAGCGAAAAAGAAATACGAAAAGTTATAACAAAAATGGCGGTAACGAAAGTGGGCGAATCCGACATTACTTCCGAGTACGGGACCTGAGGGGGTGGTTTTTACGAAAAAAGAAAAATCACAAGTATCTAAAAAAAAGAAAATAAGGGGGAAACGAAACTGATAGTGAGATTTGGGAAGAAACAAGCAAGTTTTGGTTAAATGAAGAAGGATAAAGAGTTTTAGGTTATGTAGAAAAGGTGAGGACAGAAAGTTTGATGGGGGTACTGGTGGAGAAAAAATAATTAAAAAGAATGGGACAAAGTCATAGAAAGTAGTTAGGCACGAATCAAAGTGGCAACTACGGTAGACCAAGCCCATTTACAAGGTCGAAAGATTATAAATTACAATAAATATCTATTTATCTATACATCTATATCTATCTGTCTCTATAAAATAGGACCTTGATTATTCAGTGTGATCTGAGAACAAAGGACATGGAAAAATTAAAGGCCTACTGATCTATTGTACATCTCGATTTGATTCGTATACTTATTTCAAATATAAGATAACGAATAATCGAGATCATTGGTAATTAGGACTTTAATTAAAATTAATTGAGACACCGGTTTAATCAAGGTCCTACTGTATATATACATATAAGTGCATCAAGAGTAAAAAAAAAAAACTTAAAAAAAAAAAATACAGATTAGGTCTCTCATAAAAATATATATAATAATAATAAAAATTAAAAAAAAAAAATTATAAAAATAAAGAAAATTGAAAAATAATAAGAAATCAATGGCCTATAGCCGCATTTAAACAAAAAATTAATTCTAATCAAATCAATATAGTTAATCATTAAAATTATAAGAATATTCATGCATTAATATAAAAATACATAATTGCCAGACAATTCCGAAAAAAAATCTTTCAAAGCTTTATATTTTGGTAAATTCAGTTACTTAACAATTAGCTTAACAACTTAAATAGTAGTCCACTTACTGATCAGATGGTCAAAGTTCGATCATACATATGCAAATTTTTGTTGTTCATTTTTGAAAATAATTTTTAATATTAATAATACGTGAATTATAGTTAAAATTTAATTTTTATAATGATAATTAACTTTTATAGTGGTAAATCATAATTAATCGTAATTACTGTTATCATGAAAAATTGTCTCGTAAATTTTTCTTTGTTATTATTATAGATAGATAAAAAAAAATCTAATGCACGATAATCGTGCTCATTTAATCGAACATGATCGAAAAGATTCTATTACGATACAATCAATAGTTCATCCTTAATTGTCATTGACAAATTGGAATACGATGATATCAGAAGATGTTTGGTTCACAATAAAAATTTCTGTGTCTTTGGAAGAATTTTCTCCCTGTCGAAAAAATAAAAGATCTGCACCGTGCCTTAGTCGGATAAAGCGCCTGTTCGGTAAACAAGAGATCGAGGGTCCGATTCCTTCAAGGGCCTTGATCAATGTAAAGTTTTCAGTCAACAGCCTAGTCACGTTGAATTTACTAATTACGATTAGATCACTAAAAGTCAAACAACGTGGGTACCGTTAATAAAATAATGGATGGATAACCCAGTTGGAAAGAAAAAAAACAAAAAGCATGTGTTGTTGACTCGAATCCATAAAAAAGGAAGTATACAAAATTATAATAAGAAAAAGAAAGAGAGAGAGAGAGAGAGAGAGAGAGAGAGAGAGAGAGAGAGAGAGAGAAAGAGAAAGAGAAAGAGAGAGAACAAAAACAAAATAAATATTTCACGAAAAAAACCTTTGAAAATAATTGAAATACATAGACTGAAATATTTTACTATATAAAATAAATATATATATATAATAAAATAAATAAATATATATATATATATATTTGATCACAAAATGATAATTAATTGATAAACTACGTAATAATACTAGAATAATTAGGATTCGTTTTGTACGAGTCGTAGTCAAAAAGAGGACATAGAGACTGGCTAAACGGGATTTATTCCCAGTTACCGTTCGAAATATTAAAGAGATCAAATTTGCTGAGAAATTGTGAGCTTTCGTTCCTAAATAGGATGATACCGAACTCGGAAAGCTTTTGATTTTCGATACACATAAATACTAAATAATTCGATGAAATACTCCTAATGAATTGTCTATTGTATTTTTTGATATTTATAGATACAATTTACTCTGATACTTCCGTTTCATCCTGATAATTGATTTTACGGCAATGCTCGTAGAGACTGCGCAGATCTCATATAGAATATTTTTCATATTATGTCGAATCGTACAAAATACTCATTTATTTCTCGCAATGCAATATTTTTTATATAAATCTTTGTACATATATATACATGAGATAAAATGCCTATATATATATATATATATATATATATACACACATATTTAAATAGATAAATGAATGTATTACTTGTTTTAACGAAACTCAAACACGTAAATAATATATTTCCGAGTTAACTCAATATTCCGTTAATAAGTACAAACCAAAGCAACATTGACTGATTCTACCTCTTTTTTTCTATACTATTTACTAGCTTTTTTTTAATGAAAAATGTGAATAATATTTAAGTCATTTTATATCGTCAATAGATATATAAGTTTCTAAGAGAAAAGATCGATGAAAGATCAGTAATTCATACATTTTATATAGTCAGTTAATTCATACAATTTTTTTTAACCTTTTAACTGGAGAACATGATTTAAGAAAATACAAAAAAAATTGATATCTCATCTAATAACATATTAATTTTTCATTTAGTCACGTTTGTTTTCGAAATATTAAATCATCCGTTACAAGTTAAAAGGTTAATAATTGAACTTAACCGTGATATAACAAAAAATATACATTTTATATTACCGTTAAAGTGTATAATATTCATTACGAATATTATACATCATATTGACATTCATTGTATAATATTCATTCATGAAATAACTAGGTATTACATAAAATAATTATGCGTTTGAGGGAAATACACGCAAAAAATGTTATTATACATTTTTAACTAAGTGTTTTTATATGAAATAACTGGGTATAAACGAATTTTTACAAAGGCATGTTGTTAAAGTATGAATTGTTAAGTACGTTTACTATTATCTTATAAGACTTGTATTTTATTCTTAAAATTGTTAGTATCGATAAAAAATTTTTATATACTCGAATATCGTATCTCATTAAACTTAAACCCCATTTCTATCTTTATATCAAATAATAAAAAAATAAAAAGTATATACGAGGATTGGGAATCGAAATGGTCTAAGTCGTGAAAGTGTAACTTTCAAAGACGGGGTGTTTAGTTTCAAGTGCCTCTAAAACGTTCAAATATTTGATTTTTTTAATGTTGTTGAAGAAATGTGTAAAAATTTCAGTGATCCAGGGGTAAGTCAAGCAATTTTAATCAACATGATTTATAAAAGCATTTTTCTAAGCTTTACTTTTAATTTTTCTGGTAATATACAGAGATCTAATCGTTTTTTCATATAAGATGATCTAATCATAAATTAGCTCACTTTCCTTCTGATTTTCAAAATTAGAAAAAAAGAAAAAAAGAAAAAGAACAAGAAAAAAATTCAACTTATGAAAAATAATTATTTAATAATAATCAACTGTAAAAAAAAAAAAAAAATAATAACGACAACACGTGTAAACGTAATAATTCCTTCCCTGAAGATGAATTTCATGAGTACACGTTAAATGCTATTATAATGTGCTAAACAATTTCGATTAAAATTTTTTAAGAATATCATACGATTATTATTATAATAATAATAATAATTATTACTATTATCATCGTATTATTATATTATATATATATATATATATAAATACCATAATTTCGAAGATTTGATTTGCTAATGAGGATCCGTAGTTTGATGTACCTACAACGGGGACAGACAAAGACAGATAAATAGAGAGAGAGAGAGAGAGAGAGACAATAATTACGAGCATGCGCAGAAAATATTTGTGAAGGAGAGGGAAAGGTGAGTGGCCGGCAAAGGGGATGCGCGAGGGGCAGGAATATAGGGAAGGGTGGCTTAGGAGAAATAAAGCGCAGCGAGGAGCTACGTCGTCCGCGATGAATGTAGCCGTGGGGATGTTGCATTGAAATTCGCGAAATTTCTCTTGCATTAGAAAGGTGTTTGATATACATATATACATATATACATATACATATATATAATCATCCGGTTTTGTGAACTTTAAGTTTTCCCTCCCTAAAACCTCTCTGCCAATACAAAAAATAGATAAAATCAATCTACCTTTGTCTACAAATTAGCTCCTTTACGAATCTTCAAGTTGAAAATAAAAGAATCCTCTAATTTCTTTCATTTCTCAACGTATCGTTCAACATTATCATCATTTTTCCTCCTCTTCCCACGTTCTCTCTTTCCCAACCCCTTCCTTTTGATATTTCTTTACGATTTGATCGTTCGTTATCGGACGAATTTAATCATCTTGTTAAAAACAAAGTGTCACAGTTAACGAAGTGACAAAAAGTCTCCGTGATTCGTGTATAATCGACGACATAGTGTGTGCATCGAGAAGAAGAATTCATTTTCTATCGGTGTCTTCCACGTATTATTTCGTATATATTTTATTATTTGAATTGTTCTCTTCCTCTTCCCTTGTTCTCTCTTTCTCTCTCTCTCTCTCTCTCTCTCTCTCTCTCTCTCTCTCTTTCTCCTTCTCTCTTTCTCTTTCATCGTGGACCACTTTGGCTGGAGTTTGTATGATTGTCTTTGATAGAGATACAAGAACCCACGTACCACGTCGTTGCTGACTTTTCTGGATATGACGAGGCATGCGCCGTAAACAATTCTGGGATTGATGTATCACAGGGCGCAGGTATTTACCAAAAGACGCATATTTGCATAGTACTCTTATATAACAGCAAGTTTACCGTTTCTTTAGATAATATATAGTATACCTTGTATATATACAAGCACATGCAAAATAAATACACTTATGGTCGTAAATATCTGTAGACGTAACCAACACCTCATCATCATATTTATGCATCATAAATGCGCATGTGTATATTTACATGCATGTCGTATGAAATCTCTATAATAATTCTTCCCGTTCACATTATCATTATTATTATTATTATTATTATTATTATTATTATTATTATTATTATTATTATTACGATTGTTTAAAAATGTGTTAAAATGATAATATTGTATTTTTCTCTAATATTTAGATCTCGATTTACTTCGTACTGTGTACAGCGACGGTAAGCCTCGCTATTTCCACGAATCAAGAAAAAAATACGGCAGAAAACGCAAAGTGCCCTCCAGAATGCATCTGTCTATCCCAGAAGGTAATTACATAGGTAATTACCGAACCGTTAGAGCTGTCACTCGCACATTGCAATTCCTATTTGAAAAACGATTATAGATGATAGGGATGGGTTTTCCTTTCTCGAGTTCATCATATAAATCTCTCTTTTTTTTTCTTTTTTTTTCTTTCTTTCTTTCTCTTTTTTCTCCCTTGCGTTTTTCAATGATCACAATCAACGTTAAAAGATGTAAAAAGCGGAAGAAGCGAATGAATGGAACGTGATGAAAAATGGAATATATTTCACGGAACGATCGAAAAAAGTTAAACCATTTGAAAAGAATTTCAATCCGATAGATTTGTTCTTATTCGCATTAAACGGAATGTGTGTATTTGATTTGAAAAGAAATATCGTTTTAAAAATTCTACATCTGTGGTTTATATTTTTGTAAATATCTATTTACATAAAACGTGACCAATAATTATGACAATGTGACATAATCGAAGAATTGATTAAAAATTTGTATTATACATTTTTTTTCCTTTTCTTTTTTTTTGTTTTTTTTTTTTTGTTTAGTTAATCCGTGTCGTAACTACTGAACCATAGTTACGATGGATATCATAATTATGCATATATAAAATATTTGAAAATATAAAAGAAGTATTGTAATTAATTGTTACAGGTGATTTGCAATACGGGAGGCCTCGAAGATATACCGACCCAACATTTACCAGAAGGAGTAGAGGAATTGTCTCTAACGAAAAATAATTTTCCTATAATCAAGAGCGACGCATTTGCTGGGTTACGCGTGCTGAAAAAACTCTCATTGGACGGTAACAATATCTCATCGATAAGACCGTTCGCGTTTCGTGGATTGAACAAATTACGAGAATTGTCGATTCAGGACACACCGTTGTCCTACATAGAAAAATTTTCTTTCGCCGCGCTTCAAAACGTTTCGGTTTTATTATTGGCGAGTAACAAGATTCGTTACATCGAGGGTTATTCCTTCGCCGGTACATCAAATATTCGTGCTATACTTTTGAGTAACAATCCATTACTGAGCTTACACAGTTACGCGTTTAGAGGTTTGACCAATGTCGTGAGACTTATTTTACCATCCGGTATTCGTAACATCGAACCCGATGCTTTCGATGGATTACACACTGTTGGCTTATTGAAGCTCACCTTCATGGACTTGCCCAGCTTAAAATCTTACACATTTCGTGGCTTAAGTCACGTTAACTCTTTAAACATTCAAGAATGCGACCTGGGTGTCATTCAAAAAGACGCCTTTGCCGGTTTAACTTACGTTGATCATCTTAATATTCTCAACAACAAGATAGACCTCATAGAAAGATTTCATTTGAGGGAGGAAGACGCCGTTAACATCCTCAGGTTTTACGGTAATCACGTTCTCGAAGCACCTCGTCATGCCAAGGACATCGTTTTAGAAGTAAATTCGATCAGTGCTATCGGCAATCACTTCCCGTGCGACTGCCAAGCTCACAATATTCTCGAAAGCGACTTCGTTAACTGCAGCGTTGCTGAATTTCAACGTAATAATTATTGTATATCGCCTATAGAATACAACAACAAACCGATGAGCCAAGTTGACTTTGAACTTATAGCCAATTGTTACGACAACGTCGTACAGGACAATCTTGGTTCCGGCGTTGTCATCGCAATGTCCTCCTCCTCCTCATTGCCTATCGCGTTGTTCATAATTATTCTCATTTTCAAAAGTTTCCTTCTACCTTGAATCGCGAGTTCCTCCAAAAATATTCTAGAAAATTATTTCAATAAAAGATAGAATATTACCCTATCATCCGAGAAATTTCGATTATCCTAGAAAAAGAGAAGAAGAAAATGATTGATTTCAAATAAACAAAGATTACGGGACACGATTTATCTTACAAAATTACAAACATTTCCTAACGATTATTAAAGAAGAAAAATTAGATAATGTATAATATAATAGAAAAATCGTGCTTCTATTCTTAGATTGTTACAATCATTTTATTAATCCAATTAAAATTGAATCGAATTAAAATATAAGATAATTCTTATTAAATTTTGATTTAATATTATTCTCTCTCTCTCTCTCTCTCTCTTTGATAATACTTTCTCTATCGTATATTAATTGTCGTCAAAAATTCTTCTATCAAACTTTGTCAAAATTTTCATTTAGTGTCGGATTTTAAATTATGACGAAATATTACGATAATAATGATGATGATGATGGTGATGATGATGATGATGAACTTTCTAGTGATTCGAAAATACCGTAAAAAACTGTAATTTAACTCGGAACACTGGATCGTTATTTTTTCAAATTGTTTAACATTTGAGAATGACAAACAATTGAAGAAAATATGACGGGTGGCATCGAATCGATTTCGTTCGCGTAAAGCTAAAACGCACGATCGATCCTAGTTAGCTTAATACTTTTATACTGCTAGTACTTTCTAAATATCATAAACCGCCTAATTGCACAGCAAGACGGAACACTATTTCGATGATTCTAATTATTCTATTCAACGCTTAAACAAAGAGAAAAAAAAAACGAAAGAGAATGAGTTACGATATCTTTGTTGAAAAGAAAAGAAACAATATAAAGAATAAAATATATCGATAGTAACATATCAATTGAAGAAAGAGAAAAAAAGAAAGAAAGAAAGAAAGAAAGAAAGAAAGAAAATATTTATTTAAAATTAATAGAGATGCTTATAATTGCGTCCAAATGTTGGACATTGTTACAGATTTATTTAAAAATATTTGTTGACAAGTTTTCGCATAACCGTTTAAAAGAAAAACAAAAAGAAAAATGAAAAGAAGAAAAAAAAAGAAAAAAATATCATTCTACAATATATTTTACGTACCGAAGGAAATAAAGAAAGTACGATAGATTTATTCTAATTAATGTTAAATGTTAATTAACAATTTCATCATCATTATATCTATTGTCAATTTGTATTATAAAACTACGTTTGTTATCTTAATACCTGTTATAAACGTTTCAAATTAACGACAAACTTAATCTTAAATTCGGCTTACGTTAGTCGTTTCATAACTGCCTAAAATCTATTATACATATCACACATATGATGATTAAATCATAATAACGAGTAAACTATTCGTGAAAAATACGCGTAGATGGATTAATATTTTCTTAAAATTCGTTAATCTTCCATTTATATTTTTAACAAAGCCGAGAAAGGGTACTACGCTTGATCGTACGCTGCTTCCTGCGCATTTTTCGTCATTAACAGATTACGAGACGGACAGTTGACGAAATATCTCACATTATTCTCGCACAAAGAAAATGTTGATAAGAGAAAAGTGGGAAGTCTCATCATTCGATCTACTAAAAATAAGTATATATTAAAACGAGAAACGATTTTCTTTCTATTTTCCTTCACTTCTTCGAGTGACCGTTCTCAGAAAACGACGAAACAATGTCATGATCTATTTTAGCATCTGTAAGAATTAGATACGATCTATCATAGTATGATCCACTTTCGAAAAACTCCATACCCAAAATATATATATATATATATATACATGTATATATATATTTTAAATTAGACATATTTTTAATTATTTATCTTAACTAATCCGATATTAGCGATAATATTTCAATATTATCATCGTTACCACAATGATGTGAACAAATTAATACAATATAGAACATATAAAAATAGTTTTATTTGTCCTACCTAGGTTTTATAAATTTTTTTTCGTAAAATATCTAACAAAATCGTTGTGAATTAAATGAACCCTTTCCCCCGCCCCTCCCCCCCCCATAAAGAGAATATAAACGATCTGTTCTCGAGTCTTATAATTATTAATAAACAAAAAATAAAAGAAATACATTTCAGCACTGCGAGCGGTGCTGTTATCGGTGATCATTTCTCGTTCTTATATTTAATAATGACAATTTTTCTACAAAAAAAGAACAATGAATGAAATAAACGTATAATTACCCGTCTTTCTTTTTCGCAATAATTTGTTAGCAAGTAGCGTCCACCTCTTGATTTTCTGTTAGATTTTTAGAAGAAATGACTTGGTCGCAGTGTTAGAACAGCTGCCAACATTACTTTGGGCAGCTCTGCAAGGAGAATTCTCTGAAGATGATTTACCATTCCATTGAGATTTCATAACTAAAATTCAAGAGTCGCAAAAATTGAATACATGATAAAATCTTATTCATGTATATAAAAAAGAATTGTTTTCAAATAAATTTTCTTTATGATTTATTATCAGCAAAATATTTGAATTCGTATTCCTAGTTTATAAATCTCTATATTCGAGAGATCTGTCGTGAAAATAATATATCGACAAACTTCTTTTTGATTAACTATACCTTCTTTACCACTCACACGAAAATTCCTAAAGACTTTGATACTCACAATCAAAGGATTAAGAAATTAAAATAAGACTTTTTACAGAGTTTTTCCTAGGCATCAAACATAATACTTTGATATCCTATAGAATATCAAATTACTATTTAAACAACGTTGAAAAGAATACATTCTAGGGCACAGACACACACAGCCATTCGCAACCCCTCCCCCCCAAAACAACCCATACAGGTAAAAAAACTACCAAAAGTTAATAGATTTTAATAAACTTATATTAAATTAAAGTACACACTTTTGTCTACGCGTAGAATACCATATCGAGTTATAAATTAATCTGCAAAGGTTCATAAAATAGCAAAGAAAAATTAGCGGATTAGACATTGTTCACATTGCCTAAAACCAGGCATTGTTAACATTACCGGGGGAGGTTTGGAACCTAGAATAAAAAATAACAAAATCTAAATAAAAAAAAATGATATTTTAATATTTGACCGAAATATAATTAACACGAATTCGTGCAAATCCAGCGAATACCGGATATAGCAGTTGCAATGCCGTATAGTGGACACTACTAACACTTAATCTGTGATAAAGAAATATGAATTTATCCATACTTTAAATAACTACTTAAAAATTAATATATAAAACAGCAGCAACTGTCTTAATGTCTAATAAAATTAGACATTCTGTTTCTTTTTATATATTATTATAATTTATTCTTTTTTCTGTACATCTTTTTACAGATAACTATAGATATCATCTTTCGTTCTTTGTTATTTCATTTTCTATTATTTTGTGTAAATCCTTTTTAATTAACAAATACGGCTCTCTAGTTGCAGAATCTAATATTTGTGCTATCATCTCTTCCGTCAAATTCTGATATTGTTTTTCCTCTATAAAAATAATATCAAGAATATTATACAATCAGCGATATACTGTAATAAGTAATAATTAATAAATTTTATCTAATAACTACCAGAAATAACTATGTGTCCAAAGAATTCGCATATAGCAGGTTTAATCAAAGTTGTATTTTTTACATCGGCTTGTGACTTTCTTGCCCAAACATATGCTCGTACATCATCATATTCTTTTTTCAAATGTGTAGTTTTTGCTCTTGTAATATATAGATTATGTGCAATTTGATGTTTTAGAAGATAATTTACAAATAAAAATATTGAAGATACTAAAGTTTCTAGTTTCTTTGATGAGGATAATTTAAAACAAAATCCTTTACTAGGAAAGTTTTCTAAAAGAAACAAAGAACCTTCGTGTGGTTGCACATCCTTAAACAAGCAACATTCGTGAAACTATCATAACTGATCTTTCTTTTAAAAAATTCATTGTACATATTAATTACTTACAATATATTCAAGAAGCATTTCATGCTTGAGGTAATATAAATGCCAGTGTAAATGATTGACAGAAGCAAAAGCACACAAACTATTAAATCCGATTCTGAGGTACCTAAAATATAAAAAAAAAATAGATTCATTTATGTTTGCGCGTCTATCTTATAAAAGATGATCAAATATTTACGGTGAGCTGCTTAACAGCAATATTTCGAATGCTTTTTGAAGACTATACTGGGTAATTCTCTGCGGTAGACATTCCAAATATTTAACAATTAATAAAGAATGACACCATTCGATAGGACTATCGTTAATTGCTATAATATCACTGTCCTCTTGATCCTTTATCTTAAACATTATTTCATTTCTTTGTAATTTAGTGAAGTTAAATTTTGTTGAATCAAATGGCATTAACATTGTTGTAATATGTTCAGGTTTTCGTCTTTTACATGCTCTATCAGGATTAAACTAAAATAAATTTAATATATTCTATCATCTGTTATAAAAAAAATCAAAAATTATAATTTTTTTAATACGAATTTATCTACCTGAGCTAAAAATTTATAAGGGCCCTCGATTATTCTCCAATTACTAATATTTAATTTGTATCTAAACACTCCATCTTTTTGAGCCTTTTCCCATGCTCGCTTTAATTGCATATCAAATTCTGATTCATTTTCATTTTCACCGATCAATAAATGAAAATTATTACTCTTATAACTATAATTCGGAATATCTTCGTTTGTACTTAACATATTTAATAATTAATAACAATCCTAAAAGTATTCTCTCTACAGTAGTCTCATAATATTTCCTCATGAAATACTACATATAATTTTCGCAAGAAAAAAATATTGGTTATCGCAAAATATTAATAAAACGAAAACAATCAATTTTTTTTAATCTAAATTTACGAAAAAATAAAAATTAATGACTTCAACTATTTATTTTAAAGAATCACAACCTATTGTTATTTATTGTAACATATTATAAAACATTGAAATTACATCGTCTATCTAACAAGTTGCTACAAACAAATATTAATTATTATTGTAAATTGAGAAATTATCGAGATGTTTTATATTTATATATATATAGATATATAATTATTATGAAATGAAAATACTTCTTCGTCCACAATAAAGTAAAACTTTGTTAAATGCAAACTTTAATTGCGTAATCTTCGCACATGACCAGTATAATGTCAATAATCTTATACGTTGCAAGTTCGAAGTACCGCCACTAGGTTATGCATTAATAGCGACAACAGCGCTATCTGGAAGTAGTTGAGACATAACCAAACTTGTCATTTTGACATAACAAATTCCTTTCCATAAAAACATTTAAATATAATTCAATATAAAGTATTTTTCATAAATAATCAATTATTTATAATATTAATAGTGTTAATTAAATAAGTATTATAAATATTATGAACGTCCTGATATTAACTCTAAAAATATTTATTGTAATTCAATTATCTGAAGCCACATTGTCACCGCCTACAAATACCGGGAATAAAAAGGATAAAAAGGATAAGGGGAAGATAGATACTCAGGTATAAAAAATAATAAAAAGACTATATATATATATATATATATATCTTTAAATAAAATCAAATAATAAACGTATTATATAATTGATTATTTCGTAATAAATTATTAATGTTTATTTAATGACAATATTAGAAAGGTCCTGTCAACAAAGACGTTTTTCAAAGACATTTAGTAATTAAAGATCCTAAGGCAATCGATATTATTAGAGAGTCTGGAACATATTATTCAGACACTAAACGTAGAAGATTTTCTGGTGAAGTTTTAGGATATATTACTCCTGTAAGTATAGTAATTAATATTAATTAAACTGTTACTTAGATTAATTTACAACGAATGATGTCATTTTAGTGGAATAGTAATGGATACGAAATATCAAAAACTTTTCATGGAAAATTCACAATGGTATCACCGGTCTGGTTTTCCATATTACCAAGTAATACTTCAACATTTCCATTACCAACACACGATGTTCAAAAAAAATGGTTAAAGGATATGAGATTGATGAACAGCGAAAGTCATAATCTAAAAAGTATGTTTAATCAGTAAATAATAATGATTATTATATACCACTTAATGATTGTATGAAAATCATTAAAATATTTTTTACTTTAGTTTGAATCTATTTCAGTTTTACCAAGATTATTGTTTAAGCATTGGTCGACAAGTGATATTGTTGAATTAGAAAGTAATACACTAAAACAACAACAACTTATTACGATATTAACCGATACAGCGAAGGTAAAGATTTTATTCTTATTAACCCCTTGTACTATAACAGCATACAAAATTAATCATACACTTTATAGCTTAAACATAAGAAACATAAGCCCTACTTGGTGAAAATCTTATAGGCCTAAAATTAGAAGAATCAAATATGGCATGAAGTTCCTCACATTAAAACATATATAGTGCAAGGGGTAAAATAAAATTATAATATATGATATAAATTATATATATATTTCTATGATTTAAAATATTTAATTACAGACATTCCGTTTTGATGGTTATGTATTAGAAATATGGGATCAGTTTATATATACGGGTATCAATGTACAGATTGTATTGTCTGTAGTTAAAGCTATTTCTAAAAAATTAAAAAACGGAAATCTTGATGTAATGTTAGCAGTTCCACCATCTAGAGGGTAAATCTTATATATATTATTTACATTATTTTTGTGATAATATCTTTTATATGATTAGATTTTATTCTGATTTTTCAGTTCAAAGGCACAATTATTTTCAAGAGATCATTTCAACGAATTAGCACCCTACATTAGAGCTTTCTCATTAATGACATATGATTACTCGAGTATTCAACGTCCTGGTCCTAATAGCCCACTTTCTTGGGCAAGACAATGCGTAGAATTTTTAGTTCCAGATCAAAATGATCCTAAACGAAATCAAATCTTACTGGGGATCAATTTTTATGGATACAATTATACTCCGGAAGGTGGTGGGCCTATTTTAGGTTCGCAATATCTAAAAAGTCTTGAAACTTTTAAAAGCAAGATTCAATGGGATGATAGAAGTAAAGAACATTTTTTCGAAGCAAAGTAAGATTTTAATTCGATTTACTTCATTTGTCTATAAGATTTTTCTTTATGTTACTCATTAACGAATTTTATATTTTGTTTCAGATCTTCCTTGGGTAGTGGGTATGTTTTTTATCCTACTTTATATTCTATGATATTTCGATTCGATCTTGCGGCAGAATTAGGTACAGGTATTGCTATTTGGGAACTCGGTCAAGGGTTGAATTATTTTTATGACTTATTATAAAAACTTTTGAATGAAATATCATATTCTGCCAGTTGGATTATTCCATCAATCGATATACGTATCTAATTGTCTAATTAATAACCGATAACAATATTATAACAAATATCATCTATAAGAAAATACTATTAATTTTATAATATATTAAAATGCATACGATATAGTGTTCTTACAACTGATCAAGATTTCATTTCGATCGTGAAAGACATCGTCAATTTACCTAAGAAGAATTATGGAGTATATTTTTGGATATAATTACTGTAGGTGTATTTTTTCAGTCTTTTCAGTAATATTATTATTATCTTGAAGCATCGCTGTATTTTCTCGTCCCTTAAGCATCATCATCATTTGTGGTCCATGTATTATACGATACATTAAATCCCAGCACATTTTTGCAGGTAATAAACTGCGTGGAAATAAAAAAATTAATTTCATAATAATAGTAATAATATTAATAATAATAATAATAATAATAATAATAATGTCAATTTTAAAGAAACACTATTAACGTAACAACTTACCATTTAAGTGGCAAAAGAAGTCTGACACTATTAGGTAACGTAACATTTACTTTATTCAATAAAATTCCTGTTATAACTTCTTCCGCAACATACTCTGGTTCGAGCATTTTCATAAGTCTACGATTTTTTAAATCTAATCAATTACTATACATAAATTTTTACATGTTCACAAATATTCTAATTACCTTGGTTTAACTCCGTCAAACATTTTTGTGTTAATCAAATAAGGACAAACTAGTGTCAAATGAATTCCTTCGTATCCATGAGCCTTAAATATATTTCAATTTTTATACCAATAATAATATAATAATTATAATAATAATATCATTTATATATAAAATAGAAGAACAAATTTTTCTTTACCCTGAGTTCCGAAAAAAGACTTTCGTGGAATCCAATGGCAGCAAATTTAGTTGCTGAATAATCGGTGCAATTGTAAGTTCCTAATAGACCAGCAGCACTCGCTATAGTTACAATGTGTCCATAATTTTCTTTCATCATATCTTTTAAAAACATTTTGATCGTCTAACTCAACGAGAAAGATAATTTCAATATTATTTTCGTTATTAAAATTTATCAAAATGAGTTAAAACGTACCCAATAATGCGCTAATATGTTTATTTTGAATGTACGCTCGATTTCTTCGTCTGGTACATCCAAAAGTGTTTTGCCGTATACATAACCAGCGTTATTTACCAATAAAAATACCTATTTAAATATAATATAAAATTAATTGAAATAATTGAAATTATAATTTAAAATAAAATGAAGAGAGAGAAAAGAAAATTATATTTTCAATAAATTATTAATCAAAATTATGTTTATATTATATTTTTATGTATACAATGAAATTTTATTATAAATCATTTTTACACTTACATTACCAATCTCAATTTTAATTGATTTCGCAATTCTATATATTTCCCCTCGATCAGAAATGTCGCAATAATATCCCCAACATTTTCCACCTTGGTTTCTTATTTCATTCACCGTATCTTCGAGTGCTAATGATATAATATATTACATTATATAATAAATATAACAAATGAAATAAGAATATATTAATATATATATAGCGAAATATCACTTGGATAGGTCATTGAACTATTATTATTTTTTTTTTAATAATCAGTTATAAAAAAATAATAATTAATCTATATACCTGATTTATTAATATCCAATATAATAACGTGAGCACCCAAATGAGATAATTTCTGGACGATTAATTTTCCAATTCCTCCGGCACCTCCGGTAACCAATGCTATTTTCCCTTTGATAGATTTTTCGCGATAACGTTTAGGGATGAATGTGAATATTATTGTTTCGGATATATAAAATATTGACATAATCACAAATAGTAGAACATCGTAAATAAGGGTTAACGTTTCTTTCAACTCCATCCTAATATATCGAAATAAAATAAAATTGTATTCTTTTTTTAATCAATCACATAAATATTTATATTTTATTTTTTATCAAAATTGTAGAATCTAATAATGCAACATTTTCGAATATTCGCATATTTGCTAGACAATTCAAACGTTCAAACCAAAGTTTACTAATACGGAGAGAAAGTTTTCTTGACAAGATGAAAGTTGCAATTTTTTTTTACTTAAAGACTTCTTGACACTACATTTGTACAATGGAAAAATGGAAAGAAAAAAAAAACAACTCGTTTGAAAATAACATGATACTTTGTAACTCTATATTCCTAATTCCACTTTAATCTCACCGTGGCCGTTATCGATACCGTATATATTAATATTAAGAAATAATAAAAACGTTTAACGATATACCTGTGAAATCGAAGTTTCTTAAATTCCCGCAGTTTTTAGAACGTACTTTTTCAATTTTTCCGTGAATAATGTAGCGCTTTCTTTCACAGCCTATTCTCAACTGCAAAGAAAATTATAAAGCGAAAGGTACTTACTATCCCCAACTCATATAGTGTAAGTACTTATGTATGTTGCATCCCGCGGGTTACTTACAATAGTATGCAACATGTTTTCTATACTCTTCTAATGGCTCCCATCATTCGATTGTATGTATCCTATAACTAAAACTCTCACTATTTTTCTTAACTATTATAGCGTGGACTTTAACATGACCCACAGGAACTGTTACTATTGAAAGACTTATTACCAATGCAATAAAAATATTATTGACTTTATTTCAGCATACGACTTGTTTTTTTTTTTCATGTAATTTACATATAAATGTCATTAATATTATATATCTGTATAAAAAAAGGTTTAATTTTGAATAACACATTTTTTGTTATCGCGTGTTACGATTATCTGTTCGTTCATTTTCATTCGTTCAATGATAAAAATCTTCGTAATTATACCTCCACGTATTATTTCTCTAAAAAGGGTACAAAGAAAATAATAATAAAAGCGCACAATACAAAATTTCAATCTACTAGCTAAATTGCTTTTACCTTTACCGAGAGAGAAAATAAAAACAAAAGGAACTTGATTTCTAATTTTCCTTAATTGCTGCGTATGTGCCAATCGTAAGAATATACGGGAAAAAAAGATGAGTACATGTCGAATCTTTCGAGTGGAAAATAGTGAAATCCAATTGTAAATCCTTGAGTAATTAAGATGATAGATAAAATATAATTAAGATGTACGTAAATCATCTGTAAATGATTGCATTTATAGATTTATTGATCAATAACAATTATACAAAATTTATCTGAGATTCGTGAGAATGCAAAGTTTCCAAGTAACTTTTGAACTTTGATTGATAAAATTAATCACATTATATGTGACATAATGAATTTATTCCATAGTCTAATATGGGTATATGTGAATGTAAATATTAGGTGAATAATTACATAAATTCTATGTTATTTGGTGAAAGGATATATTTCTAAATCTGGGTCGACCGACTCTCTACTTTTATCAAAGAAATTGAAGTTAAAAGAAAAGCATGTATTATATTGTTGTAAATAAATATTAATAAAATTTAAATTTTCATAATTTTTTGAATGAATGTATACATATTTGTTTTTGGTTTACATCAATTAAATGTTTTGTACATTTATAAATTGTATATGAATTTATATCATATGAATAAGAATTGTTAATAACCGTCATAGCCGTGGTTTCTTTTATCAACTATTGTTTACTCGTTAAATTTCATAATTTGTATGCGCATTTAATAAATTAATATACATGAATTTCTCTCTCACGAGTAGTCATCGCACAAAGAAATAACGAATGGGCTCATAAATAAAAACTAAAGTTTATACGTTCGTCGAGGTAAATAAAGAAAAATATTTTATAACTATAATTTAAGAAATAATTTTTATATAAAGTTTGATATTAAATAACAATAGAATAATATACGAGCACAATCAAAAACTCATTGAAAAATATCTTAAAAATAAATTTGATCATTATAACCGCGTATTGTAAAATATACATTTCTATTTGTAATTAATTAATATAACATAAAACCAAATGAAAATTCATTTACAATTTATATATTTACACCTTCTGAATTTACTATCAGTAATTTAAGATCACCCAGTATGTACATGTACAAGGTAGCCGAAGATAAATATTCAAAAATTACCGCGCCGAATTATACGGACGCGTGAAAAAATGGTGGGGAGAAGCTTTAAGTGATTGGTGGCGCCACGAGTGGTCACCGAGGGAACTCGTTGGAACAAAATTGACTAGATCGATAAGGTTTTAAAGTGTATATCGAACGATGTAAGGTAAAAAAAGTATCATGTGTATTGACGATGACGCTCGTTATATATAATCTCGTTTGACATATCGAAATAGTGAATAACAAAGGAGAAGGTACGTATAATGTAATCTTTCATATTTATATTTTAAATCCTTCTTATTATAAATGAAACAATAATGCAATTAATTTATAAAGTACAACAGGATACCAACTCCTCAAAGCGTGTCGGCGTTCACGCGGTTATGCTTCTGCGCATACAAACACGCGCATATATATAGGGTGCACGTAAGCAAATGTAATTGACAAGTGGCGCCACGTAACGTTTAATTTAGTAAGTGCATCCGTGCGTTTTCTTTCGAGCGGGAGGATTTGGCTCTAAATATTTTCATCGGATATAAAGGCACAAACGATTTCTAACGAACTTGATCATTTTATTAAGACAACAATTTAATAGGTATTCCTTTTTTTTATATATAAATATACTTCTATGTACATTAATATTCTTAAAATAAATTAATATCAATTGTATTTGCTTATATATATATGCTCACGAAAGAATAGCTTTCAAATGTCTGTGTTAAATGACACATCACAATACGTTAAAGCAAGTGTTTCTTATCTTTTTATCGGGCGATAAGAATGCATTTTGTAAATATTATTATTTTATTTTCTTCGAAATATTCGATTGTTAGAATAAAATAGAGAGTAAGAGAAGTAAATGAAACGATATTTGATTTCATATCTGATGATGATTACGTGGAAGATAAGTTAGTGATAAATTGATGATGATGAGTAAATATTAATACATAACGAATAGTTACTTGTAACGCGGGAAATTTAAATTTTTTATCCTACCGTAACACTCAATTATCGCAAATGTGCGAATGTAATGTTTACTTTGATCTTATCACACAATTAAATATCGGCATCAAATACGCTTAAGACGTTACACAGATCGGATTTTATCATTTACACATATCAATATCTCGTATGTAATTGTTTTTATAGATAATTTATATCCGCGTATCGTATATATATGTATATATAAATTCAATTTTAAAATCATTGTATTCTTTTACGAATCAATCGGATTTCATCGAACAGTTTCTTCTCCTTGTGGTCAGACAGTGAATATAATATTTTCAAGTAAATACAAAATCTTGTAGAATAAATTATAGTAATATTATCAAAGTGTTCAATCGAATAATAAATGGAAAATCATTTAAATAAATCAAACGAAACGTAGTTAATAGTTAAAATGGCGAGAGCATACGTGTATTGTAGTTCGTGATGATAGATAAAACGAATTATAGTTATTTTATTAGACGTCTCTGAAAATTGCATCCCACTCTTCTTATCATTGGTCGAGATTATCGTGAGTTTTAAACGAAAGTTTCCGGGCATGTTTGGGGGAAATCGAGCGATACTGCGACCGCACCATAACGTTCAACAACGTAATTACATTAATGGCGTTGGCCTCGTTTGCTATTTTCATTCCGGACATTAACAATTTCCAATAGAATTTGCAATACTATTCGTAATGTTTTTCACCGGAAATTACTTACTTTTAGTAATTTTACTTTATATTCGATATTAATCGTAAGTGCATTCGATAATCGTAACGATCCTTCGATTATTATTATTATTATTATATCTTCAAAATTCGATAAGAGATTTTTTTATTTGTATTGTAAAAAATCGAATTTATTTTATAAAAGAAAGAACGACCTAATTAATGTAAGAATATGAAAAGAAAATAAGCGATTTAAATTGAATTTATTTAAAAATAATTGAGAAAAGTAGTGGTAACGAATATAATGTTGAAGTTAAAATAAAATGAAATGGTAAGAAAGGTTGAAGATTCAAAAAGAAGGAATAATAAAAGGCTTGTATAAAATGTACGGTAAAAGTAAGAGTGAGATTAGCGAGTTATTAAAAGTAAGATTACGATTTCATTAGAATAAAATAAAGATAAGTTTTTAGTAAGAATAAAAATAATATAATCTAGTTAATAAGTTTATTAAGAGTAAGATAAGTTAAGTTAGAAAGTAATTATAAGAAATGAAAGATTTATTATGTGCGTAGGCTTATATGTTTGAGTCTAATTAAATATATATCATCATAGTTTTCTTATTATTTTTATTATTATTATTATTAAAAAATTCATATTATCTAAAAATAATATTATCGATTATCCTAGGAAAATATTATTACATTTTCATTATATTATAGAAATGTCAAGAAACGCAAACGGTGAGAATGAATTTTCTGAAACGAAAGATGGAGTGTCGGTTTTAAAAGCAGACGAAGCGTTCTCGTTGAAATTAAAAATTCTCTCTGAACACTTTATCCAAAAGTATGATAGGGAACCTACCTTTGTAGTCAAGGTTCCTGGAAGGTGAGCTCAATATGAATAATTCGAAACGTAACAATTAGACTTGCAATTGCAACTACATATTTCATTATTTATTTGCAATGTTTCATCGAAATTAATTCGTTCGTTTGTTTATTCGTTCATACGTCTTGATTCACTTGATATCATTCTCTGTGGATTGAATAATAAATTATTATTATTATTATTATTATTATTATTATCATCTAGAGTTTATATAAAATTTTAGAGTTAATTTGATCGGCGAGCATGTCGATTATTGTGGATATGCAGTTTGTCCTATGGCGATCAAACAACACGTTCTCATAGCTGTTGGGATATCAAATGATCATAGAATCAATGTTACCAATGTTAATTCGGATTATAAAGATTTTTCATGCGATTTGGATAACGTGAGGTAATTCATTTGAAATAAATCATATAAATATAAGTAAATTATAAATAATATCGAATGGGATTTATTTGTAATCGTTATTATATATTTGTATTTATTTAGAGATTCAATCGATGATTCTACAACGGGACCAATTTGGTACAAATACTTTTTATGTGGTATCCTGGGTGCTCTCGATGTTATCCCAAAGGAGAAAGTTCCTAAGGGAATCTTAGCTGCCGTATGGGGTAACGTTCCAGCTAATGCTGGACTTTCTAGTTCCAGTGCCTTAGTATCGGCATCTGTTCTTTCATTGTTTCATGCTAGTCAGGTAAATATTCTTCTATTTATTCTTTTTTTATTTAAACAAATCTCTTTTTAGTAATACAGTGTTTTTATAAGAGAACAGTAGAATATATATCCAATGTTTGAATTAATTGGGAAATATAATTGTTAGGATGAAGAAATTTTCTTATAGAATTTTTCGTAACGATTTCTCATACATTTTAATTATTTTTTAATTTATATTGAGTATATATTCTTTTTTATTATTTTAACATTTATTTTTAATATTATACGTTTCGATTATATGCGAGTTGTGAATACATTAGATATCAATTTTATACTGGAACAATAAGAAAGATAATGATATTTTCCAAGGATGTTTTGATAGGAAAACACAAACAGGAAAATGTATAGACAGTGGTTCGAATAATAGAACATTTTGGTAGTAGAGTATATGAATAGTAAAACGTTCGAATACTAAATCATTGGATACTGAAAGTTTTATATACATATAATAACGTATTAAACATAAAATAATATATATTTCATTTGACAATATAAATATATTATCAAATAAATCTATCTATATATTACCGACTATGATTAAATTATAATTCTATAGGATGATATTAGTATGACTATAATTAGATTAAAATGAATGTGAAACGCTAGTATCCACTTCGCATCTATAAACGAGATATTTCGCGATTCAATATAGTTCATGTCGTATTCTGGACGAGATATTTTGCAACACGATGTTATTTATCATACGCTTTCAACGAGAAATATCATCGATTATTTTCGATAAGACTTACTTCGTATTTTATTATTGCATTCGTGTATACGTAATGTTAAATGAAAAATAACTTGTGTTTTTGTTAATAAATAATTTTGTTTTTTTTTTTTTCTTCTAATTAATGTTATGCATAATTTTACGTTAACATTTTTTGTCCACAAATTATTATTAAATATTTTCCTTTTGAGTAAATTTTGTTCTTTTTATATAAAACACATCGATTTTCGTAAATGAAATTTTTAAATTTTACTTTTTTGTCTTCCACGCGTTCAGAATTTGTTGTCAACGGTGTATAATAATTCGATTTAATTTAAAATTGTCGAAACGTGATTACTACACTCAAGAAAATCCAATTGAAAACTGATGAATTTACATATTTATATCGTCGCAAGAATTCTTCGTAAAAAGCGATATTGTATTGCAAACATTGAAAAAGTGGTAAGCGAAAATAATATCAGGAAGTGATGATTACATAGGAATGATTAAATGTTTCTACCATCGAATGGAAATTTCAATCAGATATTTCTCCATCTAATCCGTTAATCTTCTCTAGGGAAAACTACCGCAACTTATTCTTTCAAATTAATGAATTTTTATTCCACGAGAAACGAGGAGTCGTTTGCGAGCAAGCTGTAAGATTATGGTTCGTCTACTAGGCATTAATGTAAGCTATCTTTCCCAGTAAAATTTTCCGTTTAACATTTATGAAACTTGCTCGACGTAACTGAAACATCAAATCGACTAAATAATATTCTAATATAATCGTGACAATTGTGTCTTTTTTTTTTTAATCTAAACATTCGTATCAAAACAACATTCCGCGAAAATTTTTATAACGTTGAAAATAAAAAGATTAGTAATTATTTTTCTTTATTTTAAATTTCTTCTTCTTATCTTTTCTTTTTCTTTTTTTTTTTTCAATCATATTTCAAAATTAATTCAAAATATATCTCGTTTATAATACATTTCTTATCTATCGTAATTATATTTTCTTTTTGTTCGTTCCTATAACTTTCTATCTTTTTCTATCATGAAAATATCTCGTAAAAATATTTATACACTCGATATGGAAATTGTTAGATTAAAAAAAAGAAAATAGGGATATTTTTATTCTTATTCTTCTTCTTATTCTTTTTTTAACTTTACTTTTCAATGCGAATTCTAAATAAATTATTCACTATTCTATATTACATTTATTTTCTTTCATAACTAATATACAATATTCTTATTATCTTTCTCATTCTTTTTTTATCTTCTATTTTGAGATCAATAAGAAATGTTCTCAAGCCTAATGTCTTCCTTTCTATCTCGAAAAAGGTGCAGTTTCACGTCTATGTGATTATGCGTTGGATGTCCTCGAACGGAATTCCATTGGAATTTCTTGATATCTTCTCTGTCTCTCTTTCTGTGTGTGTGTGTGTGTGTGTATGCGAATGAAAAATAAGAAAGGAAATGAAAAAAAAAAAAGAGATAGAATACTCAGGAACTTGGTATTCAGAATCGAATTACGAATACGTTTTGCGAAGTTTTACTTTTTTTTTTTTTTTTAAAAATGATCGAATGTCTTATCTATTTTTTCGTTTATTTATTTTCTTTAAATTTAAATTCTTCTTTTTTATTTTGTCCCCTTATTTTTTTTTTGTTGGCATTATTTTATTTTTAGTTTTTCTTTTCATCGAATCTAATAAAATATATTTCTCGGTGTTAATTGAGAAATTTCGTAGAAATTCATTCTAATGAGGAACTTTTTAATTAAGACGATGATGATAATAATAATAAGAGAAATGCAATTTGCTATAAAACAAAAACAAAAAAAACACATGCATACACAATTTTCTCTTTATCTTTCTCTCTGTTTTTTCCTTTTTTCTTTTTTACCTTGATTCTAACAATCAATCTTCGTCGGGATGAACTTCTTTTAATTTTCTCTTAGGATCTTTTAACGCGTTCGAGATAAACGTAAGTAACTAAAATCCTGTTTTACGATTTTCACACCAACACGAATATTTGTTTGTTTTTTTTATTCAAACATTAACGGAAATTACTCATTGTTACATAACCAGACGAAATATTAAAAAATATATAAAGATAATATATAGAGATAATATAAATATAATACCTGATAAATAAATAAATTAA